CATTGGACACGCGAACGGTCCTGTGCGGAGGCTTCCGACTGAAGTGAGCTTAGCGGGAACGCTGGGTCACGTGTTTTTAGAAGTTCGTTCTTTTGCCCTATCACAGTGGCTTCAAACGTATTTTTTGTGCCGTACAGTAAGTTTTCCAAGTTAAAGAAATGACCAGAGCCACGAGAACGGTGCCATCTGGAGGGTGCGTGGAGGCACGCGGAGGTGGCCCCTTTCTGCGGGGACGGAGAGGTTCTTCTCACCGTCAGCTCTGGGCTGGCCTCTCAGCCCTCGAGATGTGAAATTGGATGGCAGCCCGGCCGGGCTCGCTGACCTGCCCCTCTCCCTTTCCTGGGGACGCCTGAGCAACACCATGGCGATGGGAGGCTTGTGCACGCGTCATGCAGATACATCCTTACTTTCTTCCCACTCTTCCTCATCTCCTGCCCACCCACCCTCCCTCTCACCATCCAGAAGCCAGAGACCTGTGGTCCATGGGGAGTGCCACAGGCCTCGGGGTTGACTTTGGTTGTGTTCTTAGTGTCCCCCACCCTGCCCCAGTCAGTCAGAAGACCCCAAGACACACACATGGTTAAGGTCACTCCCAGGAGCGCCGCCCTGCTGGAAGGTTGGGGTGGGTGGCACCCGCAGGCCTCCACTCCCCTTCCTTTGAGTTTTTAGCCTTTGTTTTGCCTTCTACCAAGGCTGTGCTTGAGGTTCATGCTGAACCGCTGGAGCCAGCTGCGGAGCACCGTGGAGACTGCCGTGCGTGGGGGCTGCTGTGCCCAGTAGGGACTGCCGTGCGTGGGGACTGCCGTGTGTGGGGACTGCCGTGCGTGGGGACTGCCGTGTGTGGGGGCTGCTGTGCCCAGTGGGGACTGCCGTGCGTGGGGACTGCCGTGTGTGGGGACTGCTGTGTGTGCCGCTTGCCAGGAGGCACCTTTGTGTGACTGTGGGGTCCCCTGGGGCATGTTGCCATCGCTCCGAGCTGTAAATCTGGCTTATAGCTGTTAGCCTGTTAGCTTTGAAACTTAGCCTTTTTGGCCCGAAGGATGATTTTCTCAAACGCTGGATCAGCTGACTTAAACCCTGAGGTCTGCAAGAAGCCTCTGTGTGCTGTTTCTTGTTCTGGAGGAGGAACGGGTGTCTGCGTTTGCCTGCGCTGGCCTGCCGTGTGTGCTGTTTCTGACCATCCACTAATGGGGGATTTGGTTTGTGAAAAGCATTAGAAGTGGAATTTAAGGACACGTATTAGTATTCCCATCAGTGGGTTTAAAGGCTTAAGAATGATGATGTGGCCTTTTGGCATTTGCTGTAGGGACATAGGAGAAAGATTTTAGGCCAGTTGGGGGCATCACTGGGATGAGCCTCTTTCTCTGAGCACCTCGGTTGTTTTTGTCTTTTCTTTTTCTTTTTCTTTTTTTTTTTTTTTGAGACAGAATTTTTGCTCTTGTTGCCCAGGCTGGAGTGCAATGGCGCGATCTCAGCTCACTGCCACCTCTGCCTCCCGGGTTCAAGCAATTGTCCTGCCTCAGCCTCCGTAGTAGCTGGGATTACAGACACGTGCCTCCACGCCTGGCTGATTTTGTATTTTTAGTAGAGATGGGGTTTCTCCATGTTGGTCAGGCTGGTCTCGAACTCCCAACCTCAGGGGATCCACCCACCTCGGCCTCCCAAAGTGCTGGGATTACAGGCATGAGCCACCGCGCCCGGCCTGAGCACCTCATTTTTCTAGTATGAGGAAGCTACTTTTGAAATGAACATCTAGGTTTCCCTCATACCTTAACAAGTTGGATTCAAAGCTGAATGACAAACACAAAGGTCTTCCTGGCTTTTCCAGCACCCCTGTGGATTAGCGGTTTCATCCTTGTTTCTGTCCACACACTTCAGCAGTGTTCACAGTGGATCCTTTCAGCGCATGGGGGGTGGGGCTCTTTGGTTTGGTTTGCGTTGCGCCTGAGTGGAGTCTTGGTTAGATTCAGGATTTTGTATCTGAATGGTACTGAGAAGTCCTTGGGCTTCTTGCATTAACCTTAGAGTTACACCAGTTTAGCATGATCTCAGTTACGTATTACACAGAATTTCTGCATTCTCAGTAGATAGAGGAAACCAGATGTGTGTGCTCAAAATGCAGTGCTTTTAGGCCGGGATTCCCTCAGTCGGCTGCTCCCATTCCTACCTTCTGCCACTTTCTTTTATCTGAAAACAGCTGGCTCGGTTTCGGAAATGTTCAGGGGAATACCCTCTGAATGGAGCTGGGAAAGTAGCACGTGTCTCCAGCCCTGTCCCCAAGCCTCCCTCGAGATGATGAGGTGCTGTCCTTTGGGAAGTCCGCTTGAAGTTCAGCCGCAGGCCGGCGTCACTGGAGCCTGGGAGCCAGGACACTGTCCGTTCCCGTGAGCGGTTTCTGCATTCCAGAGCCGGTTCGGAAATGCCTCAGACCGGGGCCGGGCTCCAGACATAAAGCCGGCAGGGAGAGGGAAGAAAGCATTGAATGTTCATTGTTGGGCACCAAGTGGGAATTCAGCCCAGCTTGCTCTACCCCTGAAGGCCTGCATCAGACTTGGGGTTCCTTTCGTCGCGGGGCTCCGTCCTCCCAGCAGCAGGATCGACTGCGCGGATCCAGGGCACTTATCTTGGGGTGTGCAGCATTCTGCGGGGACCCTGGCACGACCTCATTTTGCTGCTTCGCATTTAAGATCTGACCCCTGAGTTTTACTCTTTACCAATTTAAAATCAAGTCCAAATCAACAGATTGTATCTCAGCCTCCCATGTGTTTTAAGAGGCTGCGCAGTGCATGGAGGTGCCCTCAGCCTGCTGCAGCGCAGCCACACGGAGGGCACACCGCCGCCTTCTGCATGACTGTTCTCAGGGTGCGCCGTGCCTTCATTTCTGCGCGTTTCACGGCACTGCCCTTCAGTATCTGCCCCTGACCCCGGTTCCCTTGTTTCCAGGCCCAGTGCCTCGGCTCTCACCTCTTGGCCCTCCCCCACTCGACATGGACGCTTTCTGCCCTGGCCTGGGCGCTGGTCCCGGAAGGAGGAGTTGTGTTGTCGTGGTCCTCCCTGCCCTCCCCCATGGCCCGGCTTGGCGTCCTTGCTTAGTTAATAGGAATTCAGTGTTTCATTATGAAATCCACATATGGCAAAAATACGAAACAATCCACCAGGTCCATAGAGAAAGTGAGTCCCCTCCCAGCCAGGACCCTCAGCCCCTCGGTGGGGTGACCGCTGGTCATTTCTCATCTCGCCTTCTGTGCACAAGCTCCTGTGTTGGTTTTGTAATCACTTTACGTTTTAAAAGATCCCTTGATAGATGAGTTTAAGATCAGATCACAGCTCTTCTTAATGAGACTTGGGAAACCGTGTTGCTGGTTTCCAAGACAGTTCTGCCGTCCTCTGGCTGTGGAAGGCACGTCATGGCATCCTGACAGTGATGATGTTCCTGCCAGCATTGCCAGCGACATGACTTTTCACACGATCTATGCAGCTCATTACACTGGAAGAATTACAGTGTCAGAAACCTCAGAATCTAACTTTGCAGCTTTACAATAACAATGAAGGTAGGCATACCCAAGTGGTAAATGGAAATAAAAGTAGAAAATGTTCTCAACTGGGAATGCATTTGAAAAGTCGTGACTTTCAAATGTTTCTATGTTGATTTTGTCTTGATAAGTTTTTCAGAAATGAGCGAAACACTTAATGTACGTGTAAGATTTGAAGAAAGAGGCACTGAGGCTTTTGTGAGGAACAAAGGCGTAGACCTTGTTGCTGCCCTGGAACTCGTGTTCTTGGGGGGGCCAACCACAAGCAGGCACTGGCACTGGGGGACCAGGGTCGGGGTCTCTCTTCAGAGGCAACAGAGCGCGAGGCTGGGGCAGGAGGTATCGGGGGCTTGAGAGGTGCAGGGGAGCAGGGGGAGAGTGGAGGGGGTGGACAGCGAGGTGGTGGATGGTGAGGCAGGTGTGTGTCCACAGCGGGGCCTGCCTCCATGGCAGCGCTCCCACCGCCCTGTGCGTCCATTGCACCCTTCTTGCTCTGTGGTTACCTGTGGTCAGGGACAGTGGCTTCATCTCCCTTAGCACCCTTGGAAGCAGTGGTGGCATCATGGAACTGGGAGAGTGGCTTTTGTTTGGAGGAGAGATGTGCCCATTCACTTAGGGTTCAGGAAGTGAGTGGGCCTTGAATGAGTAAAACAGCTCACCTGCCTCCCGTGGACAGATGCTCGTAGGAAGCAGCCAGGTGTCCAGGCCAGAACTGGGTTGGCCATGTGTCCCCTTGACTTTCCTCCACTCGGGTTTGCCGAGGAGAGGGCATCGCCAGACTGGGTGCCTGTGTGGTACCACGTGGCACTCACTGAGGAGGCCTGGGGACCCCTCCTGGACATGCCTTCCTCCCTTAAAAAACAATGATGCTTTTTCCAGACACAGAGACTCCCGTGGAGGCCCCCATGGCTGGCAGTGCTAGATGGGAGCCTGGTACCTGCATGCGGGTGGGGATGCTGCCTCTCTTGCCCCCAGGGCACTCCTCCGGCTGGGACAGGAGACAGCCAGGACCCCACCTTCAGCTTCTGAGGGCCATGGCCCTCAGGCTATTAGGAGGCCCTGGGAAGCAGCTAGAGCCCAGTGGCCACCAGGGGAACACGAGTCAGAGGACGGTTCATTTTTTTTCTCCTCCAGTTTTTGTTTTGGCTTTTAAAAACTCCTACGGTGCAAACTCTTTCTAATGGAAAAGAGTGGTTGCTCTCCTTGCAGCTGCCAGCCCGCCCTGAAGGCACAGACTGCTAGGCCTTTTGTTTCTGTTGTTTTTGCTGTTTGGGAATTTGATGTTTTAATAAAGAGCCCTTTGGGGACCTGGCTGGAGGCTCCTGTGGCTGCCGTAACAGACGACCGCAGACCCCATGGCTTTACCGGAGGGCAGAAGCCCATCCTGGGTCTCAGTGGGCTGAAAGCAAGGCAGGGTTGGTCCTTCTGGAGGCTCCAGGGGAAAATTCGTTTTCTTGCCTTTTCCAGCTTCTAGAGGCCACCCGCATCCCCTGCCTCCTGGCCCCATCCGTCTTCAAAGCCAGCAGTGGCCAGGTGAGTCCTTTGTACATCCCATCTCCCCCACCCTCTGCGGCTGGGAGGAGCCTCTGCTTTTAAAGACCCCCGTGATGACACTGGGCCCACCTGGCCATCCAGGGTCATCTCACCATGTGAGGGTGATCAGTTGAGCCACATCTGTGAGGTCCCTTTGCCCATGTAAAGTCATACCACAGGGCCCAGGGATTGGGACCTGGGTGTCTTTGTGGGGTGGGTAGCTCTACCTAGCACAGCCAGCTGGGGTGAGATGCGCTTGCAGGTGCTTTCTGAAGACATGACAGGAACTGGGGGGAAGGATTTCTCGCCATCTTTTGTTCAGAAAATTGGTAGCACCGTGGCGATGGTTCCCTCAGACTGAACTGGTCAACCTAGGAGGGAGGAGAACAGGGACCGGCTTTGCTTTTGTTTTTATTCAGGAGAACTGGGCTGGTGGGCAGGACCAGCTTGCATGCTTGCTCAGCTAGAGCACAGACAAAGCGAGGTATGGAAGGGCGCCCCAGTCCCGGGAAGCCCGCAGGATCCCAGCCCCACAGTGTCGCCAGCGGAGCAGCTCCGCTCTGGGAGGACCCCCCGCCATGCTTGCCTTCTACCTCCTTCCTGTCCCTCCTGGGTCCACTGCCCAACTTAGGGTTCTTGGTGGGGACGGGAGCGGGAGAGGGTGTACACCTGCGCCTGCGACTTCTGCACGCCTGGGACAGCGTCCGAGCAGCCTCCGCCGTCCCGCTACTGCAGCAGGTGCAGGGCGAGCTGTGACCATGCGAGGTGGCCTTGGGGCAGACGGGGCTTCTTCCAGACACATTCCTTAGAGCACCGAGGACTCAAAAGAGCCTTTCCTCACGAAAGGGCCCCCTGCCGGGGGGTCCCTCAGAGTACACAGCTTTTAGACTCTTGAGATAAGGTTCACGAATGTGGAACTGAACTGCCCAATACATGTATTAACGAGAAGTAAATGTCCAGGGAACATTCCTCACCCCCAAGGCTGACATTACCAACGGGCAGTAATTTTCCTTTGAGTGAAACTTGGGAGTTTGGTGTCATTTCTCTCTGTGGCACTGGTTCTGCCTTGTGGATTGCTGGGCGCTGCGGGCCTGGCTGCCTGGTGAAGGGCCTCGGCCATGCCCACAGCCAGGAGGCGCTCAAAGGAACCCAGCTTGGACTCGGTCTCTGACACTGGCCTCTGTTCCCAAAAACAAGTGCCTCCTGCTCCTTTTTCCTAAAATTCTGTTTATTTTCAGCTGAGCTGCGTTCACGTAAACTAAAACCACATTGCCAGGAAAAATGTAGTTTTGAGGCAGAAATGAGAAGATCCTACTCCATAAATCAAGGATGAAACTAGAAATTTCTGTTGATAGATTCTTGAAAAACTCAAAACATTGAATCATTTTGTTCAGTTTTTTTCCCCCCCCAAAGGTGCCAAACCTTGCCTACGTTGCCTGTGTGTGTCTTTGCCATTAGCCTTCAAAACGCGGCTCCCAGTGGTGCTGGTGCTTCCTCTTACTCCCTTGGGAGACTTGAGGGTCTTCCAGGGCGGAGGGGAGGCAGCGGTGCTGTCAGTGGCTGTGCGAGGCTGGGTGACTCTGCCCGGCAGAGGTCAGAGCCGTCGGCTGGGGCACGTTGCCACAGCGACCTAGACATTTTTGGATGGAGGTACCAGGCAAATTTTTTGCTGAGTTTTGTACTTGCCTGGAAACCCAGTTATAGGAATGCACACTCACTTTTTTATTAATTGGTGTTGGACACAGCACGTGGCAGGGTCCTAGGGCCTAGGTGTGTGGGGGAAGCTGAGACCGCTGACCTTTAACCCTTTGCAGCTCTGTGCTGCCTGCCACTCAGTGTGTTCTTTGCTTTGATGCCAGTGGAGTGGCCAACTGGCCTGGGTGGCTGGTCTCATGGGGCCGAGGGGGCCAGAGTCGCTGGGCTGGGTGTGGGGCGTCACAGCTGTTTGGCCTCTCAGCCCCCGGCCAATGTCGCCCAGGTGTCTTGCCCAATGCTGGGTGGTTCCCACCTACACCACATCTGCGCCGGGGCCTCCCTCAGGGAGGTGACTCGAGCTGGACCCAGGCTGTGACCCTGTGCCCTGCTGCGTGCTGCCCCCGCCCCCCCCCCCCAGCCAAAGGCGGGACCCAGGGTCTGTGTCCTGAGGGGCTCTAGGCCAGCCCCACCTCACCTGTTGCACTGCCACTGCTCAAACCCGATTTGAGATAACTTTGTGGGTATTTTATGCCAGAGTTTCAGAGTCCTATATTTCCTTGGCACTATTTCCAAATCTAAGGGGTCAGCTGCTGCTGCTCCCATTCAGAGCTGCTCCCCAGTGCCCGCCCCTCCCTGCGCCTCACAGCGCTCACCCTGCCGTGCTCCAGCCATCCCTGCTCTGGACAGCCAGCTGCCCCAGTCCTGGTCCTCCGCCCTGTCACTGACCTCGCCCTGCTCCACCCCAGGGGAAACCCCAGGTCTCCACCCAACCTGTCAAACTCCCCACTCCGTCCTTCCTGCCTGGTTACACCCTGAGATGAGGGGACCCTGGCAGTGTTCCCAGCTGAACCTTGCTTTCCCACAGTTACACGTCGCTCGAGGCCTCCCTGTAGCATCCAATGTGTCAGTACCCCCTCCATCCCCAACAGACGTGCCCTCCCCCCATTGTCTGCCTGCTTGTCGTCAGTCCGTGACACGCCACATATGTGATGAGGAGGTGCTTGGAGTGGCACCGTTCTGCGTGTGGCCATGCACTTCGTTTCCGTTTTCACGTGTGGTTTAGAGCTGGGTGTCCGACAGAGGTGCCCGAAGTGGAAAGCGTCGTGCACTCGGCCCACCTGTGGCCCCTGCAGAGCTCCGGCTGTGGCACAGGCTCCCAAGAGCCGGGGATGGAGGAGGCGCGGGTTTGCCGTGTGCTCCTTTGCTGCTTGCCCAAGGCTTGGCTTTCCTGGTGGTCACCTGGTTGGCGTGAACCTTGAGCTTGCGCTAGGGTCCCCCTGCTGTCGTGGAGGGCAGGCAGGTGGGTGGATGCTTGGGAGTTACCAGTCAAGTCCCTGCGCCGGGCAGACCGTTTCCTGCAGGTCAGGAGTTTTCAAGGCCTCAGCCTGGTAGGAATAGTTGAGAAACACTGGTTCAGGCAGCTTGCTTTATTCACAGCCCTGAGACACCTCTGGGACAGCCCCTGAGGATATTTTTTCCGGAACTTTCTCGGGGCCTGTGCTGTGATGAGTGGGAAATGCAGTTTGGCAGGTCCTCACAGAAGAGCCCACCAGTGCGGATGCTGGCTGCCTCCTCCAGTGGGCACCAGCCCAGGTCTGGGGCAGGAACGTGGGTGGCTGCAGATCCATGCAGGACAGAGCGACTGCCTCAGTGCATGGTGGAACTGAGTATAGAGCTCCTCCCCTGCCCCCTTTCCAAGTGCAGCCTTGCCCGGCCTATTCCCAGGCATCACTGAAAAGTTACTGGCGGGTTTGCACATCGGCAGGAACGTCTGCTCTCCCTTCCTTCCTCGGGAAGAAGTTCCTCTCTCCAGGGGCTCCACCTCCCTGGGCGCCCTCATCCCCAGCCTCATGGTCTGAGTCAGAGTCTCTGCGGCTGATAGGGACTTGCTCCCTCTCCTGCCCCTATCCCTGCACCCAGCCCAGCTGCGGCCCCAGGCCCAGATGCACGGCGCTCCAGTGGGCTTGCCCCATCCTGTGAAACAGAGTCCAGAAACCTCAGTGTGCTCGTCGTCAGGCTGGGTTCCGAATGGCGTGCTGTCGCTGTGGGACCTCGGGAACCCAGGTGCTTCTGTATGGCCTCTGCCCCCACCTGCTGTGTGATGGAAGTCCAGCCCCTAAACTGCCCCTACCCCTGCCCAGGTCTCACTTTCTCCTCTGTAAATGGCATCTGGACCCAAGGACCAGTAGCCCCTTTGTCAGTGTTCTGATGTCAATGCACGTACTTCACAATGCTCTGCTGTTTCTGTCCATCACCAAAAGACTAACGTTTGTTCCTTGGAAGACTACAGTTCACCCTTGAACAATGTGGGTTTGAACTATGAGGATCCACTTATACGTGGATTTTTTTTCAATAAAAATTATACTGAGCATGCCTGCCTCCTCTTCCACCTCCTCTCTCTCTCCTGCCTCTGCTGCCCTGAGACAGCAAGGCCATCCCCTCCTGTTCCTCCTCTTCCCCCCAGCCCCAGTCAGCACGCGGACAGTGAGGATGAAGGCCTGGGTGACAATTCACTTCTGCTTAATAAAGATCCGCTTCTGCTTAATGAAGAGCAACCGTATTTCCTCCTGCCTGTGCCTTTCTGAATACCACATTTTCCCTCACTTACTCTATTAGAGGAATACAGTAGATGGTACGCACCACAGCACATGAAATACCTGCTCACTGACTGCTCTCGGTAGGGCCACTGGTCAACGGGCTATTAGTAGTTAAGTTCTGGGGAGTCAGAGGCTGTACGTGACTTCAGCTGCACAAGGGGTCAGTGCCTCTAACCCCTGTGGTGCTGAAGGGCCAGCTGCACAATGAATGAATCCCCGGGACCGCGCCGGGCCCGCGTCCGACACCTGGACTCAGAGGCCTCTGCAGTAGGGGCCGTCGGGTAAAGAAACCCCACAGTCCAGCAGGACGTTCTGACTCTGGCCATATTCCTTCTAGTATAGCATCTGTTTCTGACTCTAGCCATATTCCTTCTAGTATAGCATCTGTTTGAGACAACAAAATCCCGAGGCAGAAGGTTGACGCTCCTTGGGTTCATTCTCATGGCTCGGCTGGTACCCCAAGGCTGATCCCCCAAGGCTGGTGTGCTCGCAGGTGGTGGCTGGCAGGGTTGCCAGGCTTGTCTGTAAAGGGACAGAGGGGATGGGTTTTCAGCTTTGGGGGGCACACCTGGTCTCGTCACAGCTGTTCAGCATGGCCCTTGGGTCATGACAGGCCAGCATGTGGCAGGCCTGCAGGCCTGTAGATGCCCACTGAAGATGGAGGTTCCTAGAATTGTCGTGTAGCACAAAATTTTTTTTGCATTTTTTTCTGTCATTAAAAATCATTTAAAAGCCATTCTCAGCTCACAGCTGTACAAAAGCAGCCAGCAGGTTTGATCTGGGCGCCATACTTTGCTAACCTCAGTGTAGAGTAAACTATACTTTGTGTCTTTAAAAGGCTTCTCTTCTAGCATTGCAGGTGAACTTTGCTTACAAACATAACTATTTTTAAAAGCACATGTAGGTGAAGTCTAGTCTTTAAAGCACTTGTAGGTGAAATCCCTGGTCTGGGGCTGTCTCTGCAGTGTGTTTGCAGGGGCCATGCTTGCTCTGTGCAGTGCTGCTGTCATCCAGGGCAGGTCCCGCGGGAGGCCCGCTGTGGCCAGGCTCCATGGGGTGGGGCGCCCTGGGACAGGGGCTGCTGTTCTTCCCAGGGCCACCAGTGAGACTCTCAGTGTGTAGAGTGCAGTTCTGTGTGGAAGTTGTGGGGTGCATCTCCTGGCCCTCCCATAGTGGGACGCAGCCTCAAGTGAAGACCCCACAGCCCATGTCGAGTGCCTCAGAGCTGGGGCCGCCCACCTGCCTGCCTGGGCCCTCTTGACCCCGGAGCTGCCTGCCTGGCTGTTGGAGCGCCTGGTGGATTGAGTGGGAAGTGGGTGTAGGTGCTCACAGGCGATGGGGTCACCAGAACCCACCCAGGGGCCCCTCACCTGTCCCCCATTCTCATCCCACACTCTGGGAGGCGGTAGAAGGTCGGGAGGGCCAGCGGGACTCTGCCACCAGGACTCACTTCTGCCCCTCTTGGAACTGGGCCTCGCTTTCCTGCGAGCTTCTCCTGAGTTCTCAGTGCCCACCTTTGCTCTCCCTGAGGCCTTGAGGTGACTCTGCCTTGGGAATGGGGAGGGTTTGGGTCTTAGCCTCCCTCATGGTGCTGGCTTGGGTATGAGCCCTGACTGGTGCTCTGGGAGCCTGTGCTCTTCATGGTTGCCGTTGGGATTTTTCCAGGAGGCCCTGTGGCATTGGCTTTTGCTCTCTCTGGAAGCTCTGCCTTGCTTTTTTTTCCCCCTTTTGTCCGCTCTGTAGGTGCTTGAGGGGGAGTTACAGATCCAGCAGAGGCTCAGTGACACTCTCCCTGGACCTGACGCGACCCAAGAGTGATGGGGAGACAGGATGTGCCACCGAGTCCTCGGTGTGGCCCTGAGGCAGTGTCCCTGCCGCTCAGGGTGTGCAGTCTGCGGAGCCGCGTGGGTTGTGGGCCATGCCACTGACGGGACTGTGTCTCTCCAGGTGCTGCAGGGTGCACAGCTGATCGCCGTGGCCTCCTCGGACCCCGCGGCGGCGGGCGTGGATGGATCGCCGCTCCAGGGCAGCGACATCCAGGTTCAGTACGTGCAGCTGGCGCCAGTGAGCGACCACACGGCCGGGGCGCAGGTGAGTCTGGGGCCCCACGCCGGGACACTGAAGTGATGGCACGGCCGCCTGCCGCTGCCACCGGACACACGTGGCCCCGGGGCTTTCTTGTGACTCCTCCCGTGCGGAGGGCATGTGATCGGACACGGATGCCCATCTGAGGGTTCCACGTCTCCCACGCACCATGAATGTGAAGGTGAGAAGGTAGATCCTGCCCCAGTTCTAAATTTCAACTGATTCTGGAGACTGTCCTGTGGAAATGTTTGTCAGTTCAGGGGCAGAAGTGAAGCTCTGCCCTGTGCTCCCTCCACGGAGCCCCTTCCTGTGGGCTGGGGAGCATGGGGGCCCTGTCAGCTCGAGAGCTCCCTGCCCCTTGTCAAAGGCCTCAGCTTGGGGCAGAGCCAGCGCCTTGGGCCATCATGACCCTGGCGTCCGCCGAAACAAGGTGCAGGTCTGCTGTGCTCTGCGGATGGCCTGCTAGGCTCCTGGCCAGCATCTCCAGACCTCGCAGGCGGAAGCGCCTGAGGGTGCGGCTGTGCTGACATCCCCAGGGTGGCCGAGGCCCAGACAGGAGCCCGTGGTGCCATGGGCTGTTCGCTCTGAACACAGGAGGCGGAAGGTGGCCCTGTGTCCCGGAGCAGGCTTGGTCCCGCAGCTTCCGTGCCGCCTGGTTTGGGAACATGCCCGACCGGGACCTTTTCCTTGTTCTACCTCCAGCTGGGTGGTTGACTGCTGCCCAGCCCTTTGGGAACATTCTGGCTGCTGTCTCTGGGTCTGTTCCTCTCCTTCCTGTGGACCCAGCACTGGTGATCCACCTGTGTCTTGATGCCATCCATCTTCAGTGCTTAGAATTAAAATCCTAGATGTCTGAGCAGCCTTTCCCTGCTCCCCGGGCGCTGCTGAGGGTGGGTGTGCCCGTCAGCCCTCGGGAGGAGCGGAGTCCTCCTCAGGAGGCGCTTGCTGAAGAATTGGGCTCAGTAGAGCCCACGCTTACCAGGGTGTGCAGGTCGCCCGGCTGGGCAGTTCTGCAGCCCCTCAGCCGCAGCAGCCACGCGACGGTGTCAGTGCTCACCTGACACTCACGTCTTCTTCACAGCACGGCAGCTGCGGGCCCAGAGTTTAAGGGCCCATGTCCTGTAGAAGGCCTGGCTCCTCCTCCAGCCTGAGCCTTCCTGCCGTGCCGATGGGCGCGGTGGTCCCCGCACAGGCATGCCCTGTACTCTGTGTCCATGGGTGTGGTGGCCCCCACACGGGCATGCCTTGTACTCTGCATGGTGTTTGGTTCTACACTGTCGCTGACCCCACTGGAGATGGGCTGGTAGCACATAAGGGTCATGGGCACAGAATGGGCAGGCGGGAGGTGGGGGGTGGGTGGGATGGTGAAGGCAAACTCGTTGAGCAGCGCTTATTTTATGTGGTGTGAACCTTGACCTGCCCGTGAAGAACAGTGAGGCGTGGTCAGCCCATGCTAGGACGCATGGCGGCCCCTTGTGCTGTTCCAGACAGGAGCGCTGCAGGCGGGCAGTTAGGTCCGCGCCTGGGAATCTAGATGTGGGGGCCATGCCTGAGAGCTTCTGCTGCATTATAAGTTTCTGGTCATTTCCAGATTTCACAATTGAAGAAACCTGTGTCCCATGGTTGGTGTTTACACCCCTAGCTTCCTGTAAGCTTTCTCTGTCACCATGCCCTCCCTGGCAGGCCCCAGGTGAATGATTTAATTAGGATCCATCGTAACAGCGAAGGAAGACAGTGTGCTTAACGGGCCGCTTTCCCTGCAGAAGACCCCAGTGTGGTTGGACTTGGTGGGGAGCAGGTTTGCCTATCTGAGGCCAGGCAGCTGCAGGGTGCGGTAGCTTGTCACCAATTGCACAGCTCTCTGCCTTACCATCTCAGCTTGTCCTCAGGCTAGCTCTGCCCCACTGGGAAGTGGACCGAAGGCCTTCATGGTGGCCCTGCAGGCGTGACTGCACCCAACAGAGACGGGTTTCTGGTTGAGCCTCCTTATCCACTGAAGCTCCCACCCCAGCAACGCTCGGGAATGGCCTGGCATCTTCCGTTGGTCAGAGCAGGGTCACACACATGAGCTAATTCTAGGAAAACCTGTGGCTCGGCTGTGAGGGCCTGGCTCTGAGAAGATGGGGTTCCCTTAGGAGGGAAGGCAGGTCGCTGGCCTGTGGGGGTGGCCAATCCTCAAAGTGGAGAGTGGGGCCTGTTCCCTGGAGCAGTGGATTGGAAGGGTAGGGGGGTGCTATTTGCAGGGAAGACACTTGTCTTAATGCAGGGTGGCCTGCGGGTGTCATAGGCTCCCTGAACCATCTGTAGCAGGGGCAGTGCCTCCACCAGCCTCTGCCTGGAACATGGGTCTGGCCACCATCCTTGGAGGGCAAGTGAGTCCCTCCCAGCCAGCCCAGACCTGTGCCCCACTGTCCTCACCCACCCTGGTCCCTAGCTGCCTTTCCAGCTGTCCGGGGGAAGGAGCGTTGCATCCCAGGCAGTGGCCCCCCCTACCCCAGCCTCCTGTGGCCTGCAGCCACCCACCCCAGGCCCTGGTGTGGTTCCTCCGTTCCAGCTCAGGTTCGCCCCTTCCCCAGGCCCTGGTGTGGTTCCTCCGTTCCAGCTCAGGCTCGCCCCTTCCCCAGGCCCTGGTGTGGTTCCTCCATTCCAGCTCAGGTTCGCCCCTTCCCCAGGCCCTGGTGTGGTTCCTCCGTTCCAGCTCAGGTTCACCCTTCCCATTAGGCCTTCCCAGCTGTGGCTGGGGTCTCAGGAGACAGTCCCTGCACTGACCCCTCATCCTACCCTGGAAGGCCCCTTCTCCATCCAGGAAACAGTATATCGAGTGTCATTTGACATTTGTCTTGAAAAAGCACAACCTAGACCAGGTGTGGTGTTTCATGTCTGTTATCCCAGTGCTTTGGGAGGCTGAGGCAGGGGCGTTGCTTGAGCCCAGGACTTCAAGATCAGCCTGGGCAATGTAGCGAGACCCCCATCTCTACAAAACGTAAAAAAATTAGCTGGGGCCAGGCACGGTGGCTCGTGCCTGTAATCCCAGCATTTTGGGAGGCTGAGGCAGGCCAATCACCTGAGGTCAGGAGTTCGAGACCAGCCTGCTCAACCTGGTGAAACCCCATCTCTACTAAAAATACAAAAATTAGCCAGGCATGGTGGCAGGTGCCTGTTATCCCAGCTGCTTGGGAGGCTGAGGCAGGAGAATCGCTTGAACCTGGGAGGCAGAGGTTGCAATGAGCCAAGATTGCACCACTGTACTCCAGCCTGGGTGACAGAGTGAGACTCCATCTCAAAAAAATTTAGCCGGGCGTGGTGGTGCGCACTGGTGGTCCCAGCTACTTGGGAGGCTGAGGTGGGAGGATCACTTGGGCCCATGAGGTCGAGGCAGCTGTGAGCTGTGTTTGCACCACTGCACTCCAGCCTGGGCAACAGAGCAAGACCCTATCTCTAAAAAATGAAGCAGGACCTTAACTATAGTAGAAGTCACCAGGTGTCTTCCTCTCGTGGGGTTGGCCGTGGGCTCGTGGCTTCTCCTGGCTCTTCCTTTGTGTGCCCTCCAGCTGAAGCTTCTGGGAGTGTGTGCACGGAAGCCCTAGAGTGGGCTCCTCCACCTGGGGCATGTTCCGTGTGGCTGAGCTGGAGGATGAGTGACTTATTCCAAGATTATATATTTTTCCTTTACTTTTTTTTTTTTTTTTTTTGAGACGGAGTCTGGCTCTGTCGCCCAGGCTGGAGTGCAGTGGCCGGATCTCAGCTCACTGCAAGCTCCGCCTCCCGGGTTTACGCCATTCTCC